GTTTTAAATTTTAGTCCTTTGGGAGTAGGATTTAGTTAATGTTATCTTCTTTTTCTTTTTTGTGTGAATAATATTATCTTTATTCATAGTTTATCTTATGGGTTCATATAAGAAGCTCATATTCTAAAAGGCCCAAAAAATGGACTACAAAAAGAAGAAACTAAAGAAAATAATTCTTGATTGATGCAAATTCTATTACGACAGCAGTGGATTTAATATTGGACCCCCATAAAAACTACTTAAGTTTCAAAATTTCAATACTCGTAGATAAGAGGTAAAACATACAAGTATGACATTTGTTATCTCTCATATATGTTATTATTATGTACACACACCATCCATTTGCCTACGTTATTATTATGTGTGCAGTAACCTGCTACCAATATATCTCTTTTATAGATATCTAAAAGAGCCGTAAAATCAAAATCAACTTACAAGTCATTGTGTGGACATCTCTATCCATCGGATGGAGCAGTTTCGTATGTTTTTTAAGGTTTGTTTAGTCAATTTGGCTTGTGTGGACACATTATGTTTGTCATTGTGATTTTTATTTTCTGTGAAAGCAAATAAACTTTTCATGACATTTAATATAGAAAAAAATAAATCTTATGTTGTAGGAAAATTTTAATCTCATGTCATAGACACATCAAGTGTGGGGTCCAACTATTTTAAAAAAACAAAAAAAAGAGTGACATACCTTTTTATGGTGTGTAGGTGAAAGTATAGCTGCTGACTCATTTGTCTAACTACTTCCATGTAATCAGCTGAGCTGTTATAACTGATTTAGTTAGTTATTAGTTATTCATAGTGTAAGAGCAACCGTATAAATACATGTAATCTTGACTCAGCTCAATACAATGTAATATTCAGATTTTCAATACAGTTCATAGATTATTTCTCTTCTGTTCTGATACTTTTCAGTAGGAATGATTTGTTTTCTCATGCAACATGAGAAAAACAAACCCTTTTAATATATAATTTTTTTTATCTGCATTTAATATTTTATTCTTACAACTTTGGAACCGTGATTACATGCAGGATATATTTTGGTAATCACTTTAACCAAATACATGTTGCATTAAGCTTTTTCCCTATCAAATAAACTCCAAGGCCTTTGCAATTGAAGCATTACAAAAAAAAAAAAAAAACAAACAGAGGAGGAGGAGGAGGATCCACTCGTCCTCGAAGATGACGAGATTGGAGAAGGATATTCAGTCGTGCATGGGATCAAACTTTCCCACTCATTGTCCTGAGTAATATATATTTTGCAGTTAATTTACCTAAGGGGGCGTTTGGTACGCGGGATTCTTCAAGAATTCCGAGAAACTGAATTTTTTTAAATTTTAAATTTACGGATATTTTTATAAACTGAATGTAAAAATTATATTTTTAAAAATTGAGATTTCCAGCTAAATAAAAATTTCTCCCGTACCAAACGCCCTCTAAGGGTCGAAGATAGGGGAGATTATACCAATATTTTTGGGTATAGAAACGGGCAAAAGCCCAAGTTGTACCTATTTTTGGTCCAAGACAAGCCCAATCTTTGAATTATTAAAAACCCAACTTTTTATTATTACATGTGACTATTTAAAACCACGGGGTGGTCAATATTGATATTTGATAGTGAAAACCAAGTTTAAGCACTTAAGCGCAATGTCAGTCAAGAGTCAACTCATAAAACAAAAAGTGAAAATTGCAGGTTCAATTGATGATAAATTATGAGTTTAACTTCAAAATGCGACTACCATTGTCCCAGCCTTGAACCGAAAGGACTCCAAGACTTGGCATTATGGTGATTGGTGAGTACCAGTGTAGGTCTTAACTAGACTGAATTTATGAATTTGGACAACCGTTTGCTGAAAGTGACTGTGAAATCTAATTATAATAAAAATTAAAATGGTCATACCTTTCAAATTTAAAACATAAAAAGTAGTTGCGTATTATTTGAAATTATTTTGGAAAACATTTTCTGTAGAAAAACAAATTTCCATTCCTACTATAGATCGAAATTTGTGCCATTTTTGTTTGTTTGTTTTTTCGAAAAAAAAAAATGGTGGGACATTGTATTTATGTATTTACAGGAAAATGGCTTATCATCCGGAACAGAAGAAAACAAATGTCCTATAAAATATAGGTTCTGATTCAATAGTGGATATACTCTTACTTGCTTATTTTATAAACAAGTTCATTATAAAAAAGTGTGGTTACTGATTAAATAAAATTGCCATTTCACACATGTATAAATAATGTGTCCGTAAATGATGAAGAAATAGGCACTTGTTTTCCAAAAAAGAAAAAAAAAAATGGCACTTAAAGAAGGCTATCGGGGCATGCTTAGTTTGAGTTCCCACCATCTTAGTTCGAGTACATTATTGGGCTTCTTGTGTGAATACCCAATTCCAATCATAAAACCAAACAGATTTTTTTTTTCGTTTTATAAGAAAATGCCCAAAATCCAATCTTTAGCTATTTCATTGGGTTTGTACATGGAGGATTGAAAATGCACAAAATCCCACGCGGTCGTGGCCCAATATTGAAGAACATAAACTGTGTCATGATCATGATACATGCTTACTATTTGCTTAGTTCTTAACAGTAGGAAAATTATTGAACAAAGTGCACACAGTGGTTAAAATATTGACGTGCACCAAAAAATAAAATAAAAGATTGACGTACTATTAATTAAAACAGTTAATTGTGAAACAGTTATGATTATGTTTAATTTGAATACATTAAATTTTATAAAATCTTCTTGTATAAAGCCGATTTAATCGGCTTCAAATATTGAGGAATGATTCTTCCAATATTATTTTCTATATTCCATGGTTCAAACGAGCTTTGATTAAGGGAATAAGATTCTTTGTGGTTGATTATTGCCTTGTTTATAGTTCAACACAATCTTCCACATGCACGCGTGGAATCCAGACGAGAACAACGCTTGTTGCTTGAGCACAAATTATCAAGGATAAAAACTTGATTCATTTGTCATAATAAAACTTTCAAACATCATATCATTATCATATTAAGTGTATTGAAAATATTCAATTGGTGATTCAGACACTTGACTGGTTGGTTCAATTGAAATGTTTAATTGTTTTCAGTCACATGATTAATCGATCAAATTCGATCATTTAGGTAAAATTCAGCCTGTTCAATTCAATAAAAACCACGTTAATTACTCGTAATATTAGTTTTTGTGACTCTAATCTATTTTTTTTTTATTTGATTGGAATTTTAGCTGGACCCACGCTCAAAAAGTCAAAATTGATTACCAACTGTCTAACTGAATCAGTTGCAAATTCAACTCTTGCAACTTGTGATATTTCATTTTGACGGGAATGAAAAAGCAACATGGATCTATCGTGGTTTGAAATATATTAATTGAGATTAATTTGTTCCTCGGTGGCAACTACCTTTTTGTTAGTCTTCGATGTATTCGACGCTATTCGACCGACCAAGGATTAATTTACTTCTTCACTGTTTCACTAAATTCCCAAAACGGAAACGTCAAATATATAACACAAGTTTTTTTAAAACGATCCCGTCAGTCAAATTATTTGACAAGTAACATGTTACTATTTTGTATCAACAATTACGAATTTTGTAAAAGGACTTTAAAAGAGAGTGATTATTTGCTTAAAAATGTTTAAATCCAAACATGTTCGCAATGCTTGTATGATATTCAATTGAAAATAGAAATCATAAAATAGCAAATAAATTTGAATTTTACTGAAAAAAACTGAAGTATTACTTTAATTTACTTTTTTTTTTTGAAAAAACAGTAATATCTTTTTGAAAAAAATTTAAAGGAAATTTTTAAAAATATTATTTTTAAAAATTAAACTAATAGAAATGTATCCGAATTGGCTATTGTATTAATAAGGGGTTACTCATCTTAGGTTTTTTTTTTTTATCGATTAACTCCACAAATCTCAAAAAATACATAGATCTAATCACGTGCATTCGACGGAATGATCCTATTTAATAGTGTATTTTGGGAAGTCTAAATTAATGATATTGTACCTGAGACGTGACACACACGGCATGATTGGGAAAATATTTGAGTGTCATGAAACCATTGAAACTTGAAAGACTGCAAATGTGCACGAACATTACTGAATAATAGAAATACGTTTGGCAATTTGAGGGTAAAAGTAATTTTGCTCATCAACCACGGTTTTTGACTTTTGATGTCCAATTAAGCAATATTTATTTATTTTGTGATGAAAAAAAGTTGAATGCGTATTAAGAAAAGTATTCTTATAATTTAATATCATATTATTATATGAATGAAAAAAGTTTTAAATTAAAATTTCCAAAATATGTCAATAATATTACTTTTATCAAAATCAATTTTTTAAATAAAATTTTGACACAATTTTTGGCCTTTTAACCATTATAATGTAATTTCAAAAGTAAATTATTGAAATAATGCAAATTCGAACTATTATTGAAATAATTCACAATAGGGATATACTTGACTTGTGCATTGGCGAATCAATTTTCAATCAACGTCTACCACATAAAGTCACTCATGAAATGTGCTAGTTGTGCTAGTTAAAATCTTTTTCTCCATTCCTATTAATTTTCAATTATCTAAAATTTGCATTTATATCATGCACGACTTAAATATGCAAATATTCGTATGTATTATGTAATATCATTTTGATAAAATGTTTCACTTGTACATTAAATTGGTAATTTGTTTTTAAAAAAAAAGATGAAAGACCAAAAAATTTTACTTGCAAATTCACTTTACACTAGATTCAAGCATAATAATAATAAAAAAAAAAAAAGGTTTAAGCAACATCATTTTTATAAAGTCTTGTCCTCCAAAAGAACGAAAGGTGATTTGAACCATATTAAAGTAAATGGTTCCGCCACACTCCACACTTTGACTCTGACCCTTTGTTTGCTTCTTCATTTGTGTTTTTGTGTCCGTGAGTCTCCCTTACTATTTCATCTTCAACAACAAAGCACAACTTAGAAGCTAAGTTCCAATGTTGAATCTGAAAGGAGGGACGAGACCACCATGGGTGGGACTTGGAGCTGCTGTGTGGATTCAAATTGCTTCAGGAAATGGCTACACTTTCTCTCTTTACTCTCACTCCTTGAAATCTGTTCTTGGTTTCAACCAAAGCCAGATTACCCTGCTTGGTGTTGCCAATGATATTGGTGAGAATGTTGGCCTCCTTCCTGGTCTTGCATGCAACAAGTTCCCACCTTGGCTTATCCTTTTCATCGGTTCTCTCTTCTCTTTCCTTGGTTTTGGTGTTCTCTGGCTCGCTATCAGCAACACACTTCAGATTCCTTACTATTTGGTATCTTCTTCATTTCTTCCTCTCTTTTTTCTCTACACCCCTTACTTTTTCTATTTTTTTTTTTCTTTTACTTTCATCATCAATCAATCACCAATGATCTAGTTTTCATAAATTTTGATGAACTTTATCTTTTCTGTTTTTGGGATCATAGATTTTGGATTTTTTTATTTTTTTTTCTGAGAATCTTAATATCCTTATTCCTTCTCAATGACAAACTTGATCTTGTAAAAAAATAAAACTTGATCCGAGACAACTGAAAGCAGTTATGTAGGAACAGGACATATTATAGTACCAGACTTGTCTAAAATGGAGATTTTTTTTTTTTTTGCAATTCTTGGTCCATAACTTTCATTTCATGGAATTAATAGATTCATTAAATAATTGCGATACATAGTGAATTGTCTGTTAAGCAGTTGAAAAGGCATAAAATTGTCATGTCCTTCTATCATATTGCAGCTATGGTTTGCCCTCGCTGTTGCTACCAACAGTTGTGCATGGCTATCCACTGCTATTCTTGTGACCAACATGAGAAATTTCCCTGTCAGTAGAGGCACAGTTGCAGGAATACTAAAAGGTTATGCGGGGCTCAGTGCTGCAGTTTTTACTGAAATTTACAGCATAGTTCTTCATAATTCTTCTTCCAAGTTCCTTTTGTTCCTTGCCATTGGTATTCCTGTTTTATGCTTCTGTATGATGTTTCTTGTTCGCCCTTGTACTCCAGCTTCTGGTCAAGATTCTGCAGAAAAGGGGCATTTTCTTTTTATCCAAGGTTCAAGTGTGGCCTTGGGTTTATGTATACTTGTAACAACAGTACTTGGCAAGATTCTCCACATAAGTGATGTAGTGTCATATATTTTGGTGGCTGTGACGATTCTTCTTCTCATGGCTCCACTTGCAATCCCTATAAAGATGACACTGTGTCCCAGAAAAGCCACCGAATCAGAAACACCTGAGCAACAAGTTGGATCTTCAGAATGTCTGATTCAAGATGGCAAAGAAGATAATACGAAGCCCCTGCTATCATCTTCATCAGCTAGTGGCCTTGGAAGTTTTTATGATACGGATGGTTCATCTGAGGTGGCTATGCTTCTTGCTGTGGGTGAGGGAGCAGTAAAAAAGAAGAGAAGGCCCAAAAGAGGGGAAGATTTTAAATTCACTGAGGCTATAGTAAAGGCCGATTACTGGCTACTATTTTTTGTTTACTTTGTTGGTGTTGGAACTGGGGTTACTGTTCTTAATAATCTGGCTCAAATAGGCATTGCACAAGGTGTGGAAGATACCACCATCTTATTGTCACTTTTCAGCTTTTTCAATTTTGTGGGTAGGCTTGGTGGAGGAATTGTTTCAGAACATTTTGTCAGGTAAATTTGAGATTTACTCTCACGCTCATATCAGTTAAAATCTGAAGAAGTCAATTGTAATCATCTCGAATAATTAGATGCTACTTTTGACAAGCACTTTGTTATTTGAACAACACAATTGTTTCACCTATAGTTTGGAAAAATAAAAGTAGAGAGAATGTTGAAATGTAATCTTTTTTAATTATCAAAATATGAAGTGGTGTAAAAAATAATGGACAATTGTTTTGACAATTTGCAGGACGAAAACGATCCCACGGACAGTTTGGATGACATGCTCGCAGATAATTATGATCATCTTGTACCTTGTGTTTGCCTATGCTATCAATGGAACCCTTTATCCTGCAATTGCATTTCTTGGTATCTGCTATGGCGTGCAATTCTCCATAGTGGTTCCCACTGTTTCGGAGCTTTTTGGTTTGAAGCACTTTGGCTTGTTGAGCAACTTCATGGCCTTGGGAAATCCACTTGGTGCGTTCCTTTTCTCAGCTCTTCTGGCAGGGCATATATATGATAATGAGTCAGCAAAGCAGCATGGTCTAGGCCTCATTGCATCGAGTGTTTCATGCGTTGGTCCAAATTGTTTTAAGATCACCTTTTTTACTCTGGCTGGTGTGTGTGCTGCGGGTACCATCTCGAGCATTATCTTGTCTATCAGAATTAAGCCTGTTTACCAAATGCTTTATTCTGGGGGTTCTTTCAAGCTACCTCAAACGTCAGGACCCTAAGAAGTACTGAAGTTGAAGAACGAATAAAGCATATTCCTCCTCAGTTACTCCTCTAGACAAACCTGTTGCAAATGCATATCTATATATGTATATATATATATATATATATACATATGGGGTAGGATCATTTGACACCGGTTTGACACTTCATCTGAGCGCCATTGATCATCAATCTAATAGACAAGAAATTTTGGCTTCGACGGGTGTGACCCTACTGGTTTAGTATAATAAAGTTTAGAGTTTTGGTATTTCTCCTGTAAAATTCTTGTTTTAGCATGAATGTTACGTGGAGATGAGGTATTGGGTACTGAGAAGTGAGGAAGGTAAATTATCTGATATGTTTTTGTATGCACATGGATGAAAAGGAATTAATCTATCATATACTTGGAACGATCACAATTTTTCATTGTGTGATGATACTGATACAATTAGTGAGCTTCATATATGTGTGTTAGCTATTACTAAATGTCAGAATTTTTTCTTAATTTGCTGAAAGTGATCTTGGAAATATGTTTACGCATTGGATTTTATGCTCCAGCATCTTTTAGCCAGCTGGACAGTTACCTTATAATGATGGCCAAAATTTTGGTAATTATTCTAATGAGTACGAACAATCGTTTTATTATTCGACCATGATCTAAAAAATATTTGAAAACAATCCAACAAAGAAAAAGTGATCGGCCAAGAAAAGCATGATTTTGTACACAACCTGGGTAAATTTTATTGGAAGAGAAGTATGTCTATTTGCCTCTTTAGACCTTGAAGCGGTGATATGATATTTGCCTATAATACACGTCCATAACCATCTTAATTGCTCTGGATCTAGTATATAGCTTCCCAAAAAAATATCAAGTATTGTCCAGAAAAACATCAAGTAACGTCATTTTTTATATATTTATATTTATCTTTAATAAAAGAAAAAACCTTTCATTTCTCCTATTCTTATATTCATGAATACACACCGTCACACATAAATAACCTTAATTTTTGTTCACCTACATTGGAGACCGTGTTACTTTATAATATGATGTCATGACCTCGTAGTGGAGTTGTACTAGATTGTAGATCTAATTGTTATTCACCGACATCTGGGACTGTGTTACTTCTTTATAATATGACCCGTACTAGTTTGTCAGCCCTTTTTAGAATGTGCTACGTCAAATGAACAGTCAATCAAACACAAACAAGTGTTTGGAGAGCCAACGATGAAGAACACAATGAATAAAGTGTCTCAGCAAAGCATAACATTTCATATAATATGCTACATGTTACTATTATAAACTATAGAATATATATAAAAAAAAAAAAAAGTGTTACCGTGGCTCACCATGGAAGCGCACGCCAAAGAAAACAAACACAAAATAATCAAGTTGGTTTCAGATCATGAAACAGAGTAGGCCAGAGTGTGTGATCATCATCATCATCGTAATCATAATCAAAATCAGCTTTGGGCTTATTGTATGGACTGTAACCCATTGGGCTCTCAGTCTCAGCCCTTGTTGAATCCAAAGGCCTTGTTCTTGTAAATCTTGGACTTCTATTCTCAAACAAAAGTCTTGTATCCAGAGACCCTGATACTCTAGGACTCTTAGCTGTGGATGTGAACCTTCCAATATCCATAGTCCTAGATATTAAAGGGCTTCTATTTGTATACATCATTCTCTCATTCAACCTTCCATCAAGTGGCCCAGAAAATTTCAAGGCCTTGTTGCTAACTATCTTCTCATGCACTCTGCCATCTAAAGGTCCTGAAAGTGCTATGGTCCTGCTTTTGTACTTGGGTACACGAATCTCTTTCTCTTCCTTGATGAGTTCCTCAGTTCCCTGCTTCCTCACCAGTGCTCCTTTCCATTTTCCTTGATACCAATCTGGCTCAACCGGTGGTGGCAGTGGTGGTGGCGGTGGCAGTGGCATGTCCTTTACATTATCTTCACGGAAAACAAACTTGTTCATGCACTTCCTTAAACACTTCTTGATGACCCCAGAAAGTTTCTTGGGACGTACTGCTCCACTTTCTTCCTTCTTGACAAGCTTGAGAATCTCTAGCCTGTGCTTGGCAATTGAGATCCCCATGCTCTGAAGAAACTCATGGTTGAAGTAGCTAGCATCTTCCAATTGAAGCTCATTGCGGGCAAAAGTGAGGCCATAGTCGTAGATGAGGGAAGGGTCAAGACTGGTTCTGGATAGCCAGGAGAACCAGTCCATGGCAGAAGAAGATGGGGTTGTGCCAAAATGGTAGGATATGCTGAGGTTAATTTAAGGTGGGGCATTGGGATTTGTAAGGTATATAGATAGGGTAATGAGGTGAGCACATTTAGATGTGAGAATCAGTGCATATATTATAAATGTGGTGGGTATATCAGTATATGCCTATTTATTTTGGTTTTTGAAACCAGTGGCACTGGGTTCCTCTTTATTTATTGATTTTTTCTTCTTCTTTTTTTCTTTTTGATGCAATTTGAATAGTGGTTGAGATTGAGAATGACAACAGCCAATATAATACGTTATGTGGATTTTTTTTTGGCTTTATCTTAAGGATAGCTCACGGGTATAGTTGCTAGTTGCTAAAGGTTATGAGAAGTTGAAGACATATTATGCAATTCACAACCACTTAAGCACTAGGAAGTAAACATGCATTGGGTATTTATAGTGCACAATCACGGTAGATTACGACAGTGGAATGCTCAAGAGGGAGTAAAATGGGTTAAAGACATAAGGGGCCCAAGAAAAAAGGAAGTAGTTAAGGCAAATCAATTCGGTAACCTACTACCCATTTTAAAGTCCAAATGACCCATACCTTGAGCTTTCAAGCATAGTTATTAGACTATACCTGCCCACTTTAATTAGAGAATAGTAATAACACTGATGTAAACAATAAAACGAGAGAGATAAAAAAGTCATATAAAATAAATGATATCTATATTCATTTTTAAAATAACATTATTTTGAGTGAAAAGATTAAAAAAATTATAATGATAAAAACTATTATAACCTTGTAATAAGTTATAATTATAAAAATATTTTAATTTTTAACTCAAAACGATATTGTTTTGAGTTTGGTGTAAAGAACTTATTTCTTACCCAAAAAACGAATCCATAAAATAATGGCATGAAATAACTAAACGTTGTGTCAGGCATCCCATCTTTGCTATGATGTAAATGAATTTGTTCAATGAAGTAAAGTCTCAATTGGTGGGGCGATTGTCTTTCCATGACATAATTGATGAGAGAAGATGGGAGTAAAATTAACTACAATAGCAAACCATTGGCAACAAGTACGTTTCAGATTCATAAGCCAAAGAGAAAGAGAAAGAGAAAGAGAACGATAAGTTACGCACAGAGAATGTAGTTTACATCTTCTGATATGATTCAAAATCATATTGGCCGGAGATGCTGTGGTCCTTGACAACAGGTTTCACGTTATGTTCATGTAGCCACGGCTGTTATGTTGCCATGCATGCGACTCATTTTTGTTCGCTAAAATTTTTGGGGTAATTTTCTTGATTTGGAAACACTTCAATTCACAGAAAAACAAAAGAGAAGGGTTTTGATTATTTTTTCTTTTAAAAAAAAAAATCTACTGTAATTCTATGAAATTTAAGAAAATAATAATTTCGTAATAACAAATTTTAGTTATTTTCCTATAAAATATGATTTAACTAAGGGTTTATCATTTTTCTGTTGCTCTTATTTTGGGTTGAGAATTTTTTTATAATTTTAATTGGAATATGTTATTTTACTTATATTTTTTTTCATGCATACCTTATTTTTCAATCTCTAACATTATTAGATTAAAATTTTAACTAACTTTTATTATTATTATTTTTTATTGAGATTCTGATATAATGATATTAAAAATAAATAGACATGAAAAAATATAAGTAAAATAACTTATCTCATTTTAATTTATGTTGATATTATTTAATTTTGATAAAATAAAAAAATTTAAGTCCAAAACGTGATTTTGTGTTCAGAAAAATGAATTCCATATTATTTACTCATGAGTCATCACAGATCTGTTAATACCCTTTGATCCACGTCATCTACTATGATTTCCTTCAAAGCTCGAGCCATGGTTGGTCTAAGTTTTTTATTTGTAAATTTTAGCCCTTAGCTGGAACTGACATAAATTAGGTGTCCACGTGGCTGAATCCAATTGATAGCACGTGAAATATTAATGGTCAATTGATTCTTTAGGCAATTGGGCTAATATTCGTAAGAAAAAAAAAAAAAAAAGGAAGGAAGGAAGTAAGTGCCAGTAGTTTATATATATATATATATATATATATAACAAAAAATATTTCTACAGATGCAGATAAATTATTTGTATTTATTCTCAAAACGACGTTGTTTTATATTGAAATCATAAAAAATTATAAATATAAAAATTATTATAATTCTGAAATAAATTAAAATTATAAAAACACCATAATTTCTGCCCAAAATGATATCGTATTGGGCTTACTGCAGATAATTTATCTGCAGTAACTGCAGAAAAAGCAAACCTTATATATATATATATATATATATATATAGAAGTATCCGTTTACAAACTTTTTTTTACAAATTTATTCAAATTGTACTATGTTCTCCCGGGAGAAGATAGTGCAATTAGTATTCTCCCGAGAGAAAATAGTGTAATTTGTAAGAGTTTGTAAACAAAAAAATTTGTAAATATATATATATATATATATATATATATATATATATATTATATATTTTATAAACGTTCATACATATTTATTAGCTTAGTATCTCTGCATTCCAAAAAAAAAAGACACTAATTCTAACAACAGTTAATATTGTATACATATTTATAAATAAATTAAAAATATTTAATTAAATTCCAAAAATAAATTATTTTATTTTATTTATCATATATACCAGAACTTACCTTTATTATTATTATTCAAAAAATAATATACATTTTATCTCTCAAACGAAGTTCATCATTTATAATTAAAACTTAAAATTGAATTTGAGCTTTTCAAAATTAAAACGTATAAAAATTAAGGCCGTATATGTAAAGAGAACATGAATTTAGAGGAAAATTTTGCATATAAAACTGACTTCTTTTGCACGAATTGTATTTTATATTATTAAATATAGATATACATACGGATAAGATATGATAGATCATACTTGAAAAAAAGTACCTTTTTTTATTTTTTTTTAATCATATGAAGTGTGAAACTGGATCCAACGAGTGTTATGTAGAGAGTAAGGTTGCAACTTGCATGTTATTATTAAGAAATCACAACCACTAACCAACTTAGTAACTTAATAACAATATGATCTGAGTCAAAGGATAAAGCCCACATATTTCCCGCGCAATCCGTACAGACCAAATCTGGGTCAATGCCTTAAAGATATCAATAATCAGTGTTCCCTCTCCCAACGTTTTCTCCTCACAACCTCAAATTCCTTGTCCAACCTAATCCCAGTGAGTGACATTGTATTTTTGTACATGTTCATGTGCCTTTTGTTGTCTCTGTTTCAAGAATCTTAACTCAACCTTAGCATGTTTCCTTGGGGCAGAACATTCCAACTGTCTCTCCGGCATAACATAAGGTTGTTGTGCACCCAATCACAACGCTCCACTACCTCATCATCATCATCATCATCATCATCTTCTTGGAGGAGCTTTTTTGGTGGGTCCGGATATGGTGAAGAAAGGGTCAGAGACTTTGAGTCATTTCTTAGATCAATCACTTCTGGGGTTATGGTTGTTGGGTCCACCTTAGGCTTTTGGTATTGGTCTTCTTTATCTTCTCCTGGTTCCAATTCTCTTCACTCATTCGCTGATTATACAAGCGAAGATCAGCTCCAACAAAACTATGAAAACAAATCTAAGTTCCTCTTTAACGGTTGGTAACCCTCACGATTTACCTTGCAAGTAACAATATTTTGAATCTATAGTATACTCGGTAATTTGCATTGATTTTGATTTGCTATGCCAAATGTTTTCTTCTTTAATTATCCTTGCACATAAATTACCCTTTGATTCATAATTAAAGATATGGATAATAAGGTTCTTGTAGTTTACCTGTTAATTTATTTGATTTGGCACAAATACTTAGATTTGTTGTGTTTCTTTTTCTTCTTCTGCAGATGGCTATAGAAGAAGAGTATTCTTCAATTATGAAAAACGTATTCGATTGCAGAGCCCCCCTGAAAAGGTAATCGATCTTGTCATTGTGTGTTTGTTGTTTAATGATTAGGAATGTGGTTCTTGTTTATTTTGATTAATAACCAGCAAATTGTTGCATTGGAATATTTCATTATCTGGCACCATGTTTAACTCCAGGTTTTCGAGTACTTTGCATCTGTTCGAACCCCTAGTGGTGAGGTTTTTATGACACCTGCAGATTTGATGCGTGCCGTTGTTCCTGTCTTTCCTCCTTCTGAATCAAACCGTGTTAGAGAGGGTTCTCTGAGAGGAGAGCAGGTTCCTGGCGAGTTGCAATGTGAACCTTCCCAATCTTTTATGCTCTTTGACACTAACAATGATGGACTCATTTCTTTCCCAGAGTAAGCATTTGTTGTCTGTTTCTGTTTGCTTGAAAACTGTCTGTCATGACTTTTTTTCTTTTTCTTTTTTTAATATGAACCACATTGATTGAGAGTTAGGTGCTACGTAATTTTGATAACAAAACCTCTTTTTTCTCGACTCCAGGTACATCTTTTTTGTTACACTCCTCAGCATACCAGAGTCCAGCTTTTCAGTGGCTTTTAAAATGTTTGATCTTGACAATAACGGGTAGGGTTTCATAAGCTATATTTTACAAATTACATTAAACTTTGGCCTTCAATTTCGTCGATGGAATTTTAAATGAGCTTCAGTCTATTGTGTGGTCATTAGCATTAGTGATCGATCCTCTTGGCGATATGTGTACATGTATGTTAGTGAGATTTTACATAATTAGATATGGATGTTTTTATAATGAACAATTGATTTTCTCCACTATCATTTAGATGAAGAAATCAAATGTAAACATCTATCATTTGGCTACATTACTACAATGTGTTTTCAATTGTTCACACTCTAAAAGCTCAATCATATTTTTATGGTAACTGTTTAAACAAATTTAATATAACATGTTATGTATAAAACTTAGCACTTAACACATTGAGTGTCTTAGATACTTGAGATATCTATTAAAACAGGCATGAAAACCGACAAATACAGACAAGATTTAGTTACAATATCAAATGGATTGCAGAAATAGATTAGGATTACTAGTCAGTTCTGTCTGTATAAGAATTTGGATTTTTGTTTGAGGTTTTTGTCAATGTCAATTTCTTAAAAGAGTTTGTCAACAGGGAAATAGACAAGGGAGAATTTAAGAAAGTGATGGCATTGATGCGATCTCAAAACAGACAAGGGGCTAACCACAGAGATGGACGACGCCTTGGTGTAAAAGCTTCTATTGAAAATGGGGGTCTATTGGAGTATTTTTTTGGCGAAGATGGAAAGACTTGCTTACAACATGAAAGATTTGTTCAATTCTTAAGAGACCTTCATGATGAGGTATCTGCGTCCCCTCCATGATAATAATGTATCTCTGGCTTTATACTTTTGGATTTTATATTGATACTTCTTTTCATGCTGTCTATGTTGAAGTCTTGTTAACACAAGTCCCTGATAAAATTTGCAGTCTTTAAGGTACAGCATCATGATTTAGATAGCATTCTGCTTCCACATCTCTGATAATAGAAGTCTCGTGCAGATTTACCATTGCTATTATATAATATATCCCTATCCCGTTGGTAAATCAAAATTCTTATTTTGTCGAATTGACCATATGCTGTCTTTGAAATGTTTTAATGGTGTCACAAGACTCAAATCATCTTGGTAGCAACCAGAAATCTCTCTGCTGAAAATTTTACTTAACTTCACCAAAAGCTGTTGATAACTTTGTGACATTGTTGGTTTGAATCTAAGTAGCTATATATCCTGAAAGATATGTCTTGATTAACATCTTGCAACGTTACAAGTTATTTTTAGGTTCTTAACTGTATCAGTCTGCTCTAACAATTTAATTTGCAGATCTTGAGGTTAGAGTTTTCCCATTATGACTACAATAAAAAAGGAAGCATTTCAGCCAAAGATTTTGCCCTGTCCTTGGTTGCATCAGCAGACATCAATCACATAAACAAACTGTTGGATAGGGTGGACGAATTAAACAGTGACCCGCAACTGAGAGACATTAGAATTACATTCGAGGAGTTCCAAGCTTTCTCAGAATTGCGCAAGAAGTTGCAATCCTTCTCTCTGGCCATATTCAGTTATGGAAAAGTTAATGGGGTGTTGACAAAAACTGATTTTCAAAGAGCAGCATCTCAAGTACTAATACCTCCCAATGCCAAAAAAATAAATGTACAGTAAGCTATTGACCATTTATAATTCATGAATAACATTTTATGTTGTGTTCATGCAGGTATGTGGCATTTCTATTACAGATAAAGTGGTTGACATAATTTTTCACGTGTTTGATGCTAACTGTGATGGAAACTTAAGTTCAAGCGAGTTTGTGAGAGTTACACAAAGAAGAGAAAACAATTCGTCACGTGTTGGATTAGGGGGTTTGATATCTTGCTGGTTGAACTGTGTAAACTGTTCATCATCTAAGCTTCAATTTTGATTGAGTACGTTCATAAGCATATATCTCCACCTCTCAGAAACTAGAAGGGAGGGTGAGATATCCATCTTATATCTACTGTAATGAATTCAACCACATGCAGCATCACTAGGGAAAATGGCAGAAGATTCATTGCCGTAGCAAGGGAAATTTGCTATGACAATGTCACACCATAACATGGTTGCTGTCTACTCTGAAATGTACAGTGTTCTATTTGTAGTCTAACATCTTGTTATTTTGTGACGTGGTCTTTATTTGTTGATATTTGTACATAATGACATTCCGGCTACCTTAAATATTCTTGCTTCTCATAAATTTTGTTTTTATTTGGCCATCTTATCTACAGTGCTTTTCATATAACCCTTTTTTCCATTTTCACTTCAGGCCATTGAACGACAAACCTGCTTTCTTGTCTTTCTCTCTGGGGTTTTAACTATGACAAAGCTTCTATGAATAAAACAGTTAAAAAAAAAAAAGTGTGAGAGTATTATGGTATATCACTGAAGAGGTTGAAAATCATGGATTATCGGTGAAAACTTTTTATTCTGATGGATTCTGTGTATCTTTGGACTCTTGCTCTCCAATAAACTCAAAAGTAAAAACATGATCAGGAACTTTTCCCTTTAAAAACAAAAAAATAAAAAAATCTTGATGTGACACCTGAATGCACTTTGAATAAACAAAACATTGGAAATTCCTGGGTTTATCACTGGTTCTGACTGCAGATTAATCTCCATAAGCACCTCAAGCGACCTGTTCAAAGCAAAGGTTGATTGAGAAGAAAGTTGCTCCAATGTGTTCAACATATAATGTCCTAAAATTATGCAAAAAAAATAAATATATATATGATCCATTTTTAATTAATTTGGTCTATGAAAAAAAAAAATATAAACTCTAATCTTTTTAATTTTGTCTTGATCATCTATTATCGTTTTAACATTGTGACATTAATATGAAATCGCTATAGAATATAAGGACCAACTTGAAAATCCAAGTTCCGTTTGAGTATTAAAAATATAATATATTTAGCTTTGTTAGAGAATAATATAAATCATTAAAAAGGCCCTCATCCAACACCTTGAGGTTTTGGGTTGAAGTAGTTCTTAATATGGTATCAGAGCTTCAGTGACTACAAAATCATGAGTTCGATTCTCACCGCCCTCCACTTGTGGAATTAAATAAGCATAAGGTAAACCAAAAATTAGACCTATACTAATCCACGCTTCAAACCCAAAGGGCTCAAGCTCTTATATGTTGTACGATTTGGTTTAGTCTTGAATATTATGACTTCACAAGACGATTTTATAACAACGATAAAATAATTGTAAGGACTAAATTAATTTCTTTATATATGAAGATCAAATTAAAAATAAGCGTAAAATATAAGGACAAAAAATATATTTTTAGCTTAAGATGATATTAAGTAACGAGAAAAAAAAAAAAAAAAAGGGTAAGAAGTGATTGAGATTTGTACAAGAGGAGAGTACTAAAAAGTTTCATACCGACTAAGGATTCATAGGAACAGCAACATTTTTCATTGGAGTCCAATTCTTGTATCTGTATCTGGAAACTTATGTCACTGCTTTTGCTCTCATCAGGACTTTGAATTGATTCTGACTGAAGATGCATTGCCTCATATAACCCTGGTCCTAACTCCGCCGACAACTCCAATGTCAACTCCCATTCCAAGGCCTGGGGCAATTTCATTATGTGTAAAAAACTTGGAAATTCTGAGAAATATATTGGGCAGACCCCACATTCTTTTACATTGAACAACCCATGTGGTTCCCCAGTATCAGTTGTAACACTGAATTCAAAAGAAACCTTTGTTTCATCGCTGCCGAGAATGCTGTCAGAATGGAATGGATCATACCATACATAAGCATGATCGGAGTTTAAATCCGTAACAGTTTTATAATGCCATGTAGACGCATATCCCACCTTTGTGCCATCTTCCGAGTAGCATTGACATTGAATTTTAGCACCATCACCATGCTTCTTCAATCCATTGGATGGAGAAACAACCACCAAGAAAATGAATCCCAGCAAATAGGAAAGGTCAGGAAGTACAATAGTACTTCTGGAGGAATCTGTTGTTCGGTATTTGAACTGCCCTGTGACTATGCTTCCTGGTAAACAAACCTCAGCACTGTTGTAATTATAGCTGTGGGCTTCCAAACTGTATTTTCTTACTAATATATTGTGAAATGCAGCACTCTTCATTGTTAATAGTGCACCTTCCATAATGCAGTCGAGTGAAGGCTTATCCAATTTCTCAACATTCTTGAAAGAAATGTATTTCTCCTTTCCATTCATTGTTTCTGAAAAGGTCTTTAAAGTTGATACTGTCACCAATGAAGTGCAGTTATCTCCATAAAACTCCTTTATGTTTTTAGGAGGCTCTGGCAGAAACCGAAGCTTCTTGCAATTCTCTAAGGACAGAATTTCTAGGCTTGAGAGATCTGCAATGCTTGCAGGCAACCTCTCCACACTGCTTCCATCTAGTCTTAATTCGTATAATGAAAATAAGCCACTGATGTTGTCTGGGAGTTCAGACAAGTTATGACAATCTTTCAAATATAGTATTTGTAAAGATCGCAGGCCATCGAATAGCACATGTAACTTGTGTTTAGTTACTATATTGCAGTTTGAAATCCAAAACTCAGTAAGAAATGTAAGGCCAGACAACTCATTTGGAAGATTCTTAAGTCTTAAACCTTCTAGATTGAGCCACACAAGCTTTCTTAGATGACCAATTGATGAGTGCAATATTTCGATTCCTGTGTTGCTTAAATTCAAACTTTCAATTGAATCCGAGGACAATGAAAATTCCTTTAGACTTGAGCAGCCATTGACACTGATCTTATGTAGAGATCTCAAATGCCTCTTACTCATAAGACTATTCAGGTTTTTGCACCTATCCAGTAGCAGAGTAACAAGTGTGTCGTTAGAAAAGACAGATTGGTGAACATGGCATAAACTTTCACAACCGGAGAGATAAAGCCATTTGAGTTTTGACGCGCCAGACAAATCTGGGAGCTCCATCAACTGTTTGCATTCACTTAGATCCATTCCCTCTAAATTCACAAGTTCCTGTTACAATTCAAAAGGAGACGTCAAAATGGAATATCATAAATTCTCATTTCAAACCAAAATCATAAGCGTAGTCTATATATGTACACACACTCACATACCTGCGAGTTGTGCCAAAGATATTTAACATTGCTATGCGGCAAGCGAATCTCAACAAGCAGTTTAGCACAAAAGGGTGGTGGAAGAGACTTCAAAGGGTATCCATTCCACTCAAGGTATCTCAATTTATCAGAAAATGGCATAAGATCTGTAGGATGGTACACAGTACTTGAACTCTTCTTACCCAAAGGAACATATAATTTAAGAAATCTTAAACTAATCATCAAGTTGAATGTGTCAGCTGTCAAGTGTAAATCTACTCTTTGAGACAAATCTAATGTTATGCCTTCAACCGCACCAGTCCCCTGACAAAACAAGAAAAAGGTGAATGGTAGCAAATTAGCAACAATTTCTATCAAAAAACATGTCTAGAAAAAGGCTAGCGCTTTTCCTTACCTTGTTATTTTTAAGTACATCACAAACTTCTTCAATATCCCTTAATCGGCTACGTCTTCCTGGGTCTTTGCTGAATTCTTTCCGAACTATACCCAAACCCATTTCTTGTAGCAAGTCATGCATTTGTATTCTATTGCTCTTTGAAATAGTTATAAGGGCTTTATCTTCAAGGACTCTTATTCCACTAGTAGCAAAGAAACCACACGCATCAAGTATCCTTATGACATCATCTTTATTTTCATCTTTGAAAAAGAATGCAATGTCCAGAAATATTGCCTGGTTTAGCTCTGATAATCCATTATAGCTCACTTGTAACACGTTTTGAATTTCCTTAAAGGATTCCTTCTTGCTCTCAAATTTATTCAATTCACATTTCCAAAATTCAACATCTCTGGAATGAAAATGTAAGCCCAATACTCTTAAAGCTAAGGGAACGCCTCCTGCATACACAACTGCCCTTTCTGAAAGATGCTCATAACCATCTTTAGGATGGCTTTGCTCGAAGGCTCCTAAGCTAAAAAGCTTCAAAGATTCTGGATACTTCCATTTTGTGACCTCAAATATCTCATCAACTCTTCTACTAAGAACATGCTTATCTCTTGTTGTTATAATGAGTCTACTATATGCTCCAAGGTCATCTAATTCTTCACACAAATATTCTAATTGTGCAGAACTATCCACATCATCAAGTACAACGAAAACTTTTTTACCACTGAGCCGCCTCCTAATGAATGTGGATCCAGTAACATGTGATGTGGTAATTGGTTCCTTTAGTAGCTCAAAGAGAAGCTTATCACGTGTATATGATAGTCCCAACTTTTCTGATTCTTCTCTTATATTTGCCAGGAAGCACACACTGTCATATTGTGGAAAGTGTTTGGCAAACATGTCTCTAGCTATGGTAGTCTTTCCTATTCCACCCATGCCCCAAATTCCAATTCTTGGAACTTTTTTGAGTAGGGATTCAATGGAGTTACTATTTTCATCAATTTCAACAAGGCCTTTCAGTTCATTAGGGTACATCAGGTACAGCTTTTGCCAAACATCATTGACAATGTTTTGGATGACTTGAGAATCATCCCTAGCCAAAAAAAAAAAAATGTAAATAAATAATAAGAATTTAAAGAATAAACAAAACTAAAGGATTAATTCAACATCGTGCAAGTGATTTTACTTAAATTAAAGATATATTATGAATAAGCTGGTTTTATCAGTTGTTTAAAAAGTGGAGCTTATTGTTTTGTATGTGTTAAGAGTGTTAGTGTTAATAGTGTAGAAGTCCTACATTGAGTGTGTCTCTTTGTATTCTTCAATTGGTTTGCTATATAATAGCACCAATGTTGTGTAGTTTAATACAACAAGGATTACTATCATTTCCTCTTGTATCTATGATATTCAACATGGTATCTAGAGCCTAACAAGAGGAATCTTAATCCGTTTAACTTAGTTCTATTTTCCATAATTTCAATATGGTTATAGAGAGATTAGAGATATCACCCTCCTTGAGAGATTCCCGTTGCTATTTCTTTTTCGGGTTTTTCTTAGTATGCTCTGTGACTGCAGCTTAGACTGATCTGTCTTAGGTTGACCACCGTTGTCGTTGACCGACCACCGTTGACTGCTTCGTCCACCGTTGACAGCCGTCTCCGGCGACTTTTCCGGTGACTTTTCCGATGACTTTCCGGCGACTTTTTCGGCGATCCACCACCGTCTCCGACGACCCACCGCCGTCTCCGGCAACTTTTTCGATTCCGCGAAGCTTTGTTTTTCTTTAATCTTCTTTCTTCCCAAGATGGAGTATTTATACGATTCATCATCCATCTTGAGGGGGAGCACTGTCCAAGTTGCTAATGTTGTCTCCGCTGATGTTAATTCCGACACTGAAGTTCCTCTTGAGGGGGAGCATTGTCCATGTTGCTGATAGTCATTCCAGCACAATTGTCTTTGCCGATGATAATTCCGGCCCTGTTTAGAAGTTCCTCTTAAGTAGGGCTGTGCATAGGTCAGGTCGGGTCAGGTTTTTGTCCGACTCGACCCAACTTGGTTTTTATAGGTCAAGTATTTTGACCTGACCCGCCTTAATTTGATCCAAGTCAGGTCTGACCTGGATTGGATTTTGTTGAACTAGTTCAGAACCAGTTTGGATCTGACCTGACTTGGTTTCTGAAGTGGGTCTGACTTGGTATCTGAACTGGGTCAAATCTGACCTGACCCGTTTTTGACTTGGTTTTCTCACAAAATTTTGTCGAAATTTTTACGTTGCAAAAGACGAAAATTTCATCACAAAATTATTTTTCGTCGAAACTTTTACAAAAAAAAATTTTCTATTGAAATTTAGTTTCCGTCAACAGTTTTGATGAAAATGATTTCTTCCATCAAATGTTTTAATGAAAAAAGAATTTTGTCAAAAAATCTGACGGAATTTTTTTCGTTCAAAATTTCGATGGGAATGTGTTTTGACGAAAATTATTTTGAGGGAAATGTTTCATTTGAAACTTTCCACGAAATTTAGATTCTCTAAAGAATTTTGACAAAATATTTTTTTCGTCAAAATGTTTTTTTTGTCAAAAAAATTTACGGAATTTTTTTTATAGAAATGTGTTTCGTTGAAAATTTTGATGAAAATTTTTTATCAAAAAACTTGACGAAAATATTTAGTTGAAAATTTTCAATGGAAATGTTTCGCTAAAAATTTTGACGAAAATTTTTTTTTGTCAAAAAATTTAACGAAAATTTTTTTGTCGAAAACTTTCGCCGAAATTTGAAATCTGTAAAGAATTTTGATGAATTTTTTTGCCGTCAAAATTTTTGATGACGAAAAATGTTTTCGTCGAAAACTTTTGCCAAAATTTGAAATCAGTAAATAATTTTGATGAAATTTTTTGCCGTCAAAATTTTTTGATGACGAAAATATTTCCGTCGAAAACTTTCGCCGAAATTTGAAATCTGTAAAGAATTTTGATGAAATTTTTTGCCGATGATATTTTTTGCCGTCAAAATTTTTTGATGACGAAAATGTTTCCGTCGAAAACTTTCGCCAAAATTTGAAATCTGTAAAGAATTTTGATGAAAATTTTTGCCGTCGAAATTTTTTGCCATCAAAATTTTTTCATGACGAAAATATTTCCGTCGAAAACTTTCGCCGAAATTTGAAATCTGTAAAGAATTTAAATGAAATTTTTTGCCGTCGAAATTTTTTAATGGAAATGTGTTTCGTAGAAATTTTCAATGGAAATTGTTTTGAGGAAAATGTTTCATTTGAAACTTTCGACGAAATTTAGATTCTCTAAAGAATTTAGACAAAATATTTTTTTCTGTCAAAATTTCTTATTGAAATATTTTTGTCAAAAAATTTTACGAATTTTTTTTATAGAAATGTGTTCCGTTGAAAATTTTGATGGATATATTCTTTATCAAAAAACTTGACGAAAATATTTAGTCGAAAATTTTTGATAGAAATGTATTTCGCTAAAAATTTTGACGAAATTTTTTTTTGTCAAAAAGTTTAACGAAAATTTTTTCGTCGAAAACTTTCGCCTACATTTGAAATCTGTAATGAATTTTGATGAAATATTTTTCCGTCGGTGAATTTCGATGAAAATGGGTTTCGTCGAAAGTTTGTATGAATATATTTTTTTGTGAAATATTTTGACGAAATTTAGATTCCGTAAAAAAATTTGACAAAAAAAATATTCCGTCAAATTTTTTTATCGATATGTTTTTAGTCACAAATTTTGATGAAAATATTTTTCGTCAAAAAATTTTGCGAAAATTTTTATGAAAATATTTTCCATAAAAAAATTTGACGCAATTTTTTTACGTTAAAACTTTTCTTTTAATGTAATTGTGATTTTGTTTTTTCACATAATGGGTATGGGTCAAGTTTTGGGTCAGTGGGTCAATATTAAAACGAGTCAGGTCTAAAACTGACCCAAATAAAAGTGGGTCAGTATTTAAACCAGTTCAAAAAATATGGGTATTTATGAGTCGGGTCAAGGTCGGATCAAGGGCAGGGCAAGTGAACCAGTTTTTTTGCACACCTCTACTCTTAAGGGGGAGCACTGTCCATGTTGCTGATGGTCATTCCAGCACAATTTTCTTTGCCGATGATAATTCCGACATTGTTTAGAAGTTCCTCTTGAGGGGAGCACTGTCCATGTTGCTGATGGTCATTCCAGCACAATTGTCTTTGCCGATGATAATTCTGGCACTGTTTAGAAGTTCCTCTTGAGGGGGAGCACTGTCCATGTTGCTGATGGTCATTCCAGCACAATTGTCTTTGCCGATGATAATTCTGGCACTGTTTAAAAGTTCCTCTTTAGGGGGAGCACCGTCCATGTTGCTGATGGTCATTCCAGCACAATTGTCTTTGCCGATGATCATTCCAGCATCTTCCATGTTGATGTTCATTTCGACGCCATTTTTAGCACATTGTTGATTTTTGGTTTCTCATTTAGGAGATTTATTTTGATGTTATGTTACTTGGTATTTCTTGTAATAAGCTTGTAGCATAGTCAAGGGGAAACCACGGCTGCTCACCAACTGTTAAATGAAATGTCTGAGAGGGATCTTGATGCTAATGTCCTGGTCAGCTCAGTTGTCTTTGCCGATGATAATTCTGGCACCATCCATGCTCTGATGTCCATTCCAGCACTGTCTCTTTATCAGCTCTTCACACTGATGGTCATTCCAGTTGATTTGTTGTACTTAGTCATTTCATTTCGTTGATGTAGCATTGTTGTTTTTGGTTCCTAATGGGAGTATTATTTATGTATCAAGCTTGTAGCATATGATCTATATGCTACAGCTTGAGGGAGAGTGTTAAAAGTGTTAGTGTTAATAGTGTAGAAGTCCCACATTGAGTGTGTCTCTTTGTATTCTTCAATTGGTTTGCTATATAATAGCACCAATGTTGTGTAGTTTAATACAACAAGGATTACAATAAATACCTCTTGTCTCTTGATAATTAACAGTATGAAATCATTAAAATTGGGAATGAATCTTGAAGATGGTCAACCATCAGATCTCTATAAATTTTTTATTTTATTTTTAGAATTTCTTTTCAACATGAGATATGACTTGTAAAAATTACTGACTCTTGATATTTTTCAAAGTATTAGACATTTGAATTTTATTTTTTGGCACTTAAGGACTATACCATCAGAATTATCATGTTCATCACAAATTCAGCATATACTATTTCAAAAATTTACTTGCATAAAATAAGAACATATAATAAATAATTACCTATGGGTACGAGAGTCCCATCCAGATATATTAGCTGCTATAGTGAGAGCAGCTTTCCACTCAGACACTTTGTCGTGGTAGGATTCATTGTTCCTGAGATTTCTCTCATGTTTTGCGAATGCTTTCTCGTAACTCCCGGTCTGGTGGCGTACATCTGATGGATCTGTTCCATAGAACACAGGTATAACTACCTGTCCATGATGTTTTCTGCACTCGAGTATTTTGAGGAGTTCATCCAAGCACCACTTTGAGGAAGCATAGTTTATTGAGAAAACTATGAGAGAGATATGCGAGTCCTTGATTGCTTCGGCAAGTGCAGGCCCAACTTCATCTCCCTTTTTAAGATTATAATCAATGTATGTTTCAATTTTGTTGTGGCAGAGAGTACTATGAAGATGGCTAGTGAAATTGGTTCGGGTATCCTCACCCCTGAAGCTAATGAATACATCGTACTTCTTGACAGAGGAAGACATATTCTGACTAGCTATGGAAAACCGACACACTTTTTTTCCTTTATCTGCTTGGAATTTATGTAGAAGAAAACAGAACCAGAGTTGTGTATGGTTGTTTTATAGACATCTCAAGTGTCAACTTTGTCTCAGGCCTAAGATCAATAACAAACTAGAGAGATAAAGTACATGAAAATAAATTTAGCCAAAATGAAAGAAAATGAACTTAAAAAAACTAAAATGAAAATAAGTGCATTTTTAAAGGACCAAAATAATATAATTCTAAACAATCAAACTGTAAATTATTACATATTTTTAATAATCAAATAATCAAGAATTTTGAGAGCTCAAAATGAATATTAAGTAATGTGAAGGGAACAACACATGTTACTCTTAATTATGTGTTGGGGTGCCACTTTTATTTTTTTGTCGGTTGGGGGTAGGTGCCACTTTCATAAAAAATAGGAAAGCTGGATGAAAGGGTCATCAACGTGCTGCCGGAGCCCGAGATTCGTGCAAAGTTAATCAAATATTATATGCGTTGTAACGGTTGCTTAATTTTGTTGACTTGATTAGTTTATGGCGGAATCTTTTTTGAAGGCTACCAATTTGGTTTATTTTGCATTGTCTATTGATTCAAGGAAACTTTTTTTTTTTTTTTTTTTGATAACATGATTCAAGGAAACTTACATGATATATGACGGGCATCTTCTTGGAACCTACCTAGCCTGTCCTTCAGCAAAGACCTGAAACAGATCAACTATAGCCACTCTCACTCCTCATCCAATGGCTTAAAAAAGGTCAAAATTTTGATATATATTACATCACATGCAGAAGGAGGATCAAGGAGATAAGCAAGGAAGAAGAGAGAAAGGAAAAAGGGAAAGTGAAAAACTATTATTCAACCTTCTGAGTCAATAGTCATACAACCATTTATGGTGATGTGTTGTCCGAAAGGAAAGTAACTCAAACCAGTAACTAACTTGGTTACAACTCAACTATACTAACTGAACAGTAACTAACTCAACTAAAACTACTAAACCATAGTTATTAATTTATTAACTATAATACTCCTCCTTAAGATGGAGAGTGAATGTCATGAATTCCCATCTTGGATAACCGTGGCAGTAATTTTGTTGAGGGCAAAGCTTTAGTGAAAAGATCAGCAAGCTGAGAATGTGTCCGTATAGGCATTAATTTTACTAAACCAGAAGAGACTTGATCTCTAATAAAATGACAATCAATCTCTATATGCTTCGTACGCTCATGAAATGTGGGATTAGAGGCTATATGTACAGCAGCCTGATTATCACAAAACAGTAGGGCAGGAGAATGAAGATTGCAGTCAAAATCTTGTAGTAATTGCCTTAGCCAACGTACTTCTGCAGCAGTTGCAGCCATGGCGCGGTACTCTGCCTCTGCAGATGACCTGGAAATAGTGGACTGCTTCTTTGTTTTCCAGGAAATCAAAGACTCACCCAGAAAAACACAATAGCCAGTGATTGATTTTCGTGAATCAACACAAGTTCCCCAATCCGCATCACTAAATGCCTTGAGTTGAATAGAAGAAGAAGATGGAAAGAAAATACCTTGTCCAGGTTTGCCCTTTAAGTATTTGAGTAAATGATATGCTGTCTGCAAGTGTGTAGTCCGAGAGTGAGAGACGAATTGACTCAGCTTATGGACAGCAAAAGTAATATCTGGCCTTGAGAGAGTGAGATATAGAAGTCTGCCCACTAAGCGATGGTACTGGAAAGAATCTTCCAAATGTTCACCCTCGATATTATTTAATTGTATGCGTGGATCCATGGGGGTCTGAACTGGTTTATAAGCCAGATAGCCAGTGTCTTCTAGGAGCTGCAATGTGTAATGGCGTTGAGAAAGACTGATTCCTTTCTGGGCTCGAGCCAGTTCAAGACCTAGGAAATATTTTAGAGTTCCTAGATCCTTGAGTTTAAATTGAGTGTGAAGGAAGGATTTCAGGGCAGCAATGGCATCTAAGGAAGGACCAGTGATGATTATGTCATCTACATAGACTAATAAGTCAACAAAGGAGGGACCATGACCCTTGGTGAATAAGGAGTAATCTGACTTGGACTGTGTGAATCCATGTTGCAAAAGGGCTGTGGAGAACTTATTGTGCCATTGTCTGGATGCTTGACGTAGTCCATAGATTGTCTTATGTAATCTGCATACAGGTTTTGTTCCTTGAGCAATGTTCTCCCCCTGAATTGAATAGTCAAGAGGCAGTTCCATATACACTTCTTCAATTAACTCACCATTGAGAAACGCATTGTTGATATCTAATTGATGGAGATGCCATTTTTGTATAGAAGCAACTGCAAGAAGAGTCTTAACAGTGGCAAGCTTTGCCACCGGTGAAAAGGTATCAACGAAGTCTATTCCTTCTTGTTGTGTAAATCCTTTGGCCACTAGACGAGCTTTACGTCTATCAATTGAACCATCAGCTTTAAGCTTTAGCTTGTAGATCCACTTACAGCCGATTGCATTCTTGCCAGGTGGTAATGCAACTATAGACCATGTCTTGTTAGCTTGAGCTCAGCATCCATAGCTTCACGCCCTTGAGGGAATTGGACTGCCTGATGATAAAAGTGAGGCTCATAGTGAGATGAAACATTTAAAATGAAATTTCGGTGATGTGGAGATAACTGATCATAGGATATGACTGATGACAGAGGATATAATGTCTCTGCTGCATCAGTGATAGTGTGAGTTAAGAGACTGCAATGATAGTCTTGCAGATATTGTGGAGCCTTAGATATCCTAGTGGATCTCCGAGTAATTATGGGTGTAGCAGGATTACCAGCTGTGTTTTGATGGAGCTGTGCTGGACCGGTTGTGAATGGAACCTGTTCCTGTTGAAAATCAAGATTCTTACAAGGTAAAACCAAGTCAGGAAATAAATCAACCTATGAAGAAACTTGGTCAACACCTTGAAAAAGGAAAACTTCTTCATGAAAAACCACATCACGTGATGTGAACAGCTGATGAGTGTTCAAATCATACAGCTTATAGGCTTTCATACCTGGTGGATATCCCAAAAAAACACAAGCTCGAGCTCTAGGATGAAACTTAATGCGATTAGCTGATAAAGTGGATGCAAAAGCAAGACATCCAAATACACGTAATATAGAGTAGTCAACAGGCCTGTCATATAGGAGCTCATATGGAGATTTGAAGTTAAGCACCGGTGAAACAGTGCAATTAATGAGAAATACAGCCGTGGACACACATGCTGACCAGAAGCATAAAGGAACTTTTGATTGAAAATACAAGGCACGTGCCACATTCATAATGTGTTGATGTTTCCTTTCAACCATTGAATTCTGTTGTGGTCTTTCTAGACAGGAAAATTGATGCATAACACTATTATACCTCATTATTTAAATGTAATTAGTTTTTAAATTAGACTCTCATGTAATTAGACTTAGGTTAGTCATTCTAATAGCTGTCATGACTTAGACAGTTAGTTACTATAGTTAGACGGTTAGTTACTATAGTTAGACGGTTAGTTACTATAGTTAGTTCTTAGAGTTACTTGTTTTACCTTGGTTAGTTTTTGAGTTACTTGCTTTGTTCACAGCTTGTATATAAGCTGATGTTTTACCTTCTATTCATAACTTTCGTATTCACTTCATTACTAAAATAATGAAATCCTATTCAGTATTCTCGCATTCTGTTATGGTATCAGAGCTCTTAGAGCTCTGATATTCGCCATTTTTTTTGGTTATCTCTTTCTTCTTCGTGTTCCATTAATTCCATATAAAGATTCTTGATCCTTTTCTGATAATCACAGAGAAGTAACAATGGCGAATCAGAGCTCTCATCAAGAAGAGAATAGTTCAAACACCACGCATGTGACAGAGAACCCTGGTGCTGGTGCTGTGCATGCATCATCCGAGAATCTTTCAGATCCAAATAGTGCTTACTACCTCCACCCGAACGAGAATCCGTCTCTTGTGTTAGTATCTACACTCATGAATGGAAGAAACTACCATGGATGGGCCAGAGCAATGACCATGGCGTTGATTTCCAAAAATAAGCTCCAATTTGTCAATGGATCTATTTCAATGCCAGATCAGACAGATCGAAGGTATGCTGCTTGGGAGAGATGCAACACCATGGTTCTTTCATGGTTGCATCAATCCATTACTGATTCTATTTCACAATCGATCCTATGGATGGATCGAGCCGTAGATGTTTGGAAGGACCTCAAGGAGAGGTTTTCTCAATCTGACATTTTTAGGATTTCTGATCTGCATGATGAAATTTTTCGTTTGCATCAAGGAGGAAATTCAGTTTCGGACTTCTATACTCAACTCAAGATTTTATGGGATGAGTTAGAATCCTTGCAACCAACACCTACTTGTAAGTGTGTTAAGCCTTGTTGCACAATTTCCTCTCAAGTAAGGAACATCAAGGATAGAGATTATTCCATCCGATTTCTCAAGGGACTTAATGAGCAGTTTACTCATGTAAAATCCCAAATTATGCTAATGGATCCTTTACCTTCAATAAATCGAGTCTTTTCCCTGATTACTCAACAAGAGAGGCAGATACATTTGGAGAATGTGGTTCCTGGTTCTGTAGTTGATGGAAGTTCAAAAGTATTTTTTAGTCCAGTGGAACATCAATCAGGAAGGGGACGTTTCATTGCTAGAAGTAGAGGACGTGGTCACAATGGTTACAATAATGGTCGTGGAAGATCCTACTCACCTCGTTTGTGCACTCACTGTGGTAGAACAAATCATACTGTGGATACATGCTTTGAAAAGCATGGATATCCACCTGGTTTCAGGGTTAAAGGCACAACAGCACCTAATACTCATAGGGCAAACTCAGTCAACACTACTGGTCCTCTTGAAGAAGTTTATTTGAATGGTGATTCTGGTAATGCTTCTCTTCTTCAAGGAAACAAAGAAAATTTCACTCAGGATCAGTATAATGCAATCCTTGAGATGATACAGCAGTCTATGCCACCTAGACAGCAAGAGCAAATAACA